TATATATACGCTGTGGAATAACTAGTTGAAGGAAATGTAACAGAATCTGCTAGCAAAACTGAATGACAGACTGACAAAAGAAACAAATCTGGAATATATTCTGACAACAAATTATTGACAGAAATTGAATAGATCTGTCAAACGCAATGCGGTTAAATTATTAATAGAATCTGTGTTGTCACTAAATACTTGCAGGACTGTCACCAGGTGATATCCGTTTATTTCTTGTATTTAAAGTTTGCCGGGTTTTCTATATAGGATATTTTGCATAAATTGCAAAATGATAGATAATTTCTTGACTGAGTTTAATCTGGTTTACCTCATGCTCATGAGAGGTGATCCTGTAGATCTGGGGCACCTTGTATATTAATATCTTTTAATAAAACAGTTATTTTCTTAGGCGAATCTATTTAGTTTCTGACGACAATCTGCTGTTAGATCTTGTGGATTGTGGACAAGTATGTCATCAGTTTTGCTCTAATTTGTTGACAATTTACTAACAGATTTGTTAACATTTTGTTACCTGAAAAATATACACACATACGAGAGTATTTGAATACTTATATTTTTAACATTTAATGAATGAAATATGTATCAAATTGAAGCATTTAAAAGAATGTGTCAAGAGATGCGGTATTGTCTCATGCCAAATGTAACTAGCACGAGACCGTATCTTTACGCCAGCCGGCGAATTGCAAGCACCCAAGATTATCGAATCTTTCAGTAAACGGCTGAATCGATCCTCTTCTGAGTAATCTCAATCGACAATTTGGGTTTATATTATATAATAAAAGTGCTTTTATTTTTTATGTACCCTACCCTACGTATACTACTCTACGAACGGAGATATCACAATGAGAAAATTCGAAATATCAAAATGTCACATTAAGATTATCATCATCATCGCCTTCGGAAATGTCCATTTCACATTTAAAATACTGCAGATGGCACTCGTCTGTTGTGACGTTACTTATTTTGGTTCCGCTAGGACTGTATCACTAGAGAGTTAGATTGCTGTCATTTATGGCATCGCTTCGTGAAAATATATTGTTATCATAATGGCCACAGCATAAACTTTTGCATAAGTATCACCGCACAAAAACATTCGTAACGCTTTACGTTATGTTAAGTACTGATCTTAAACTTAAAGTTGTCCGTAACGATAAACTTACATGAACACACAAAGAAAATCGTAATGTAACATTCTTATATATCATTGTATGAATGTATGTAAGGTGTAATAGCCACATACAGGTTAGTATAACGGGTTGTTTATTCATACAGGTGCGCGCGTTTGTTCACAACTGCGTAGACTTAATCTCTGCGTCAGTATAATTACTCGCATATCTTTTTCGCATATAAAGTTTGTAATTATACATTTTAAAGTTTTGATATTATACATTTGTGACGGATTTCCGTAACAATTCGTTAAAACAGAAGTTAAAGTGATGATACAGATTATCTATCTATTTCTGATTCTATAGCGTGCACCTTTCAGTTTTCTTCCTAAATAGGACTATCTCTCATACATACGTCCGTACATATGATACAGATCATAAAATGAATTTTATTAAGAAAATCTTAGGTGTTATAGTTTTGTTATTACGAGAAAATTTTTCTATAATAATCGATTATAAACTAAATTATAATATAAATTATATGTTATAATATTATTACTTAAATTATTTTTTGCATAAAATGTTTATGCACAGTACGAAAGTCATCAGTTAGCACATATATGCAAATTTAAATAGTCGCTAACCTAACAAATTTGATCCACTGTAAAAATAATGATTAAATGTAGAAATGATCATTAATGAATAGTAACCCAGATCAATAATTAAACGAGCTATAATTAGATGTGACAATGTAAAATTTATTTTTTCATAATATAATTTTCCAACGATACAGTTCGACTATACTTATAAAATATTCATGAGGCAAATACACATAATATATCTTAATGAGTTAGCAGTTGTCTATTGCAATTGCAAAGTAAAAAACTCAGAGTTGGATATTGTTTACATGATAAAAGATCTTGATTGCAAGAGAGTCATTAAACGCATCATTAATCGTGTTTAAACTCTCTTACAATCAAGATCTTTGCTTCATGAATATTTTATCTAACAATAGGATTAAGAACGCACGTACAATCATTTTATATAATTTGACATCAATCTGCATCTGTGATTTTACTGGAAACTTTCTTTTACTCATACTACCCTTTCTCGCTGTTAATCGAATTGATTGGATTCATCATTATTATGTTTTATTGTTCGACGAATTGACTAAATATAATATGGTTGCGTTTATACTAACTATTGAAAATCGAAGTTGAGATGATTCTGCGACTGATGAGGAGTGTACTAAATATAGTCGAAACGTATCGTTGGAAAATTATATTGTGAAAAAATAAATTTTACATTGTCACAATTATAGCTCGTTTAATTGTTGATCTGGGTTACTATTTATTAATTTGTTTGAAAATTATACGAGCGTTAAAGAAATGTTTTTAATATAAAGATTATGCGTTTCGCGGATTTCCTTCGCGTCCAGATCCATTCTTGCAATGCCAACGTTTCGTGAATTTTGCAGTCCACTTCATCAGCCTGAGCTGTTCCTCCAGATCGTTCCTTTTTTATATTACTACTTGTTGGAGTGGTAAGGGGAAAAAAGAAAATTGTGGGGGAGAGGAAGGTGAAGGAATCGATCAGTCTTCAATAACCGGGAAAATGATTTTCCATATTTTATTTATGTTGTAGCCATTATCTCTATTTAGATTGTTAAGATGTTTTTGTAGCTATATGGCTTCTCTATACTTTCTTGAAAAGTATGATATAATGTTGGCTATTGTGATTATCGTTTTGTCAAACAGTATTTGATGTCCTGTGTCGATGTTGTGTTCTGATAGTGCTGATTGCATGACATGTTTTAGTCTGACATCACATTGGTGTTCTTGCATCCGTAGGTTGACCATTCTCCCAGTTTCTCCAATGTATACTTGCCCGCAGAAACAAGATATTTTGTATACTCCTGCGGAGCTGAATGGAGGCCTTTGATCTTTAGGATTTCTAGATTTGTCTTATCTGTTTGAGTGGCTTGAAGACAATTCGGATATTGTGTTTGTTTAATATCCTGCCAATCCGATCTATTGTTCCTTTGACATGCAGAATGGATAAGATCCTTTCGTCTGATTGTGTATCAGAGACCGTTATCTTGTTTGCATTTTTATTGTTTACTTGTTTATTGATTGTTTTGATTATGTCTTTTTTGTCTGTTTTTCTGTAAAGCTAATTTTAATTGATTGAATAATGATTAAGTTCTGTCTGTAGATGTTCTTTGTCAGAGATGTTGAAAGCTCTATTTTCAAGAATATTATCAAAAAATAATTGTATTTTGACATTTTCGAATTAGAATCTTCGTTTCAAACTTATCTCCAGAATATATCCTTAAGAGAAAATGTGGTAGTTGTGAAACACCTTGTATATATTGTAATCGTGCTGGCGAGTGATGGCACAACTTTGTTGCGTGCTCCTTGATCTCCTCTTACTTAAGTATTTTTGCACTCGAAAGTGTTATATCTCGACAGATTGTTTCTATTAATATCAGAGCTTCTCAAAATAAGTTGGGCGCCAGGCGAGAGATCGTGCCACACGCTTTCAATAATCTTTTCTATTTTCACTTACAATTAATTCGTAGGAGTGAATCATTAAAGATAGGAAAATTGTCGCAGGGCGAGAGAGATAGGCGGCAAGAATCACACACAAAGAAATAATGAAATAAAGAACAATTATATTTAATGACTCGGTTTATATGCAATTTCCGGAGCTTCGCTGGACTCGATATAATCTATTTCCACGAATGATAATGACGACTTACTTCTAACGCCGGACGACAACCGTACTTTAGATTACGAGCTCTTACTTCTCTCCGCAGTCACCTTAGGAGGTGACGGATAAACGACAACCGATTATTCACAAGACCTCTCGACAGC